TAAGGGACCGCTTCCAGCTGAAAGCTTTACCACACTCACCGCATACATAAGGTTTCTCCCCAGTATGAATTCGCTGATGAGCAGTGAGTTCATTCTTCGTGATAAAAGCTTTTCCACATTCAAAACACACATGGGGCTTCTCTCCAGTATGAGTTCGCAAATGAACAGTGAGAGCAGCCTTCCAGGTAAAGGCTTTTCCACATTCACCACATATATGAGGTTTCTCTCCAGTATGAGTTCGCTGATGAACAGTGAGAGCATGCTTCCTGATAAAGGCTTTTCCACATTCACCACATACATGGGGCTTCTCCCCAGAATGAGTTCGCTGATGATCAGTGAGAACAGTCTTCCTGATAAAGGCTTTTCCACATTCACCACATACATAGGGTTTGTTTCCTGTGTGAAATGTCTGATGTGCTATGAGGCATCGCTTCCGGCTGAAAGCTTTACCACACTCAACACATACATAAGGTTTTTCTCCAGTATGAGTTCGCTGGTGAACAGTGAGAGCATGCTTCTTGATAAAGGCTTTTCCACATTCACCACATACATGAGGTTTCTCTCCAGTATGAGTTCGCTGATGAACAGTGAGAACATTCTTCCAGCTAAAGGCTTTTCCACATTCACCACATATGTGGGGTTTCTTTCCTGTGTGAAATGTCTGATGTGCTGTAAGGCATTGCTTCCGGCTGAAAACTTTACCACACTCACCACGTACATGAGATTTCTCTCCAGTATGAGTTTGCTGATGAGCAGTGAGATCACTGTAGCTGGGGAAACATTTCCCACATTCACTGCACACACAGGGGGTCTCTGCCACATGAGTTTTCTGATGCTCCTGGAGATATGATTTACTGTGATAAGCTTTGCCACATTCCAAGCATTTATATGGTTTTTGTCCTATATGAACTGTTCGATAATGTGCAGTGAGTTCGAATACTTTGTCGAATTCTTGCCCACACTGACTGCATTCATAGGTCTTATCTAGTACCTGAATGATCTGATCCTCACAGAAAAAAGATTGCTTGATGAAGGTTTTCCCACATTTATCACCTATGCCTGGTATTTCAAATTTGTCAGATTCCTCATGCTGAATGCACTGTGACTTCATGCTACTGAATTTTTCACACGCAGAGAATTTTATATCAGTACAAAATTGGTCTTCTTCAACAATGAAAAAAGTATTCTCATCTTCACTTTGCACAATTGACTTCTTTATTTTGTTACTACTCTTTTGATTTAATACTGGAAGGATTAAATCTGGTTTTACCATTTTTTCATGTGTGCCAAATAGCTCATAATTTTCCATTAGAGGAAAATTGTTTTTATGATGAAGAATATTTTCCAATGTATTAAATTTATAGAATTGTTCAGTTCTCTCCACACTCCTTTCATGTTGTGACTGATCGAGCAAATGATCATCAACTTTCAGGATCTCTATAGAAGAAAAGAACATTGAAACTTTTCATTATTGTCATTAATAATGGAACCCTGAAAACACACACTGATTGATACAAGATAGATCTTTAGTAATAACAGTCATATGAATGCAAATAAAACAATATGCTTAATGTTTCTTGGCCATTGGTAGAAGTAAAATTGTGTAAATAATACAGATGGTAAAAGCAATTACTGTAGAAACCAGAATGAATGTGAAAATAATGAATACAGATTTGGTAGGTGCTTAAATAGGACCATGAAAATATACTAAAAATGTATATACACCCAAGACACTGAGACCCATAGATCACAGGGGTAGCAAGATATGCTAATCTCTATTGTTAGAGGACAGATGTAGTCATTCCATCAATCTTTACTGAAAGACAACTCAGTACTAGACAAACTTGAGAATGTGAAAGATGCAGAATAGTCTACTTGGGTGAAAACAATTTTTACAGATATTTATAAAAGGCATTATGGTACACAAACATATCCCTTATGTTTATGGAGCCTATATTCTAGCTTAAACCACTCATCTTCCAGTATCATCCTGTGATGGCTTGCATGTTGCTGTGATTACGGAATCAATGCCACTCAGTATTTCAAATACAAGCAGGATCACCCTGGTGCACAGGGATTAGTGGAATTTCCAGAAATTCAGACTGGGAGCAGAACCTGGTGATCTACTTTTGGAACATGAGCCCCTCAGGTTTTAAATTCTCAAGCTACAGACAACAGCAATGGTGTGGATGCAGTAAAGCTTTGGGGACCTTCAGTGGGTGACATGGCATGACTGAAAATGAGAAAAAATTGCTGAAAACATCCACTAATAATTGGAAGGCAATGTATGAAGTACTATCAAGAAAAATTTTTCTGGGAAAAAATGTTCACAGCAACTAAGTAAAGGCTGTTCTCTTAAGGGTAGAAGACTGTGCCCACTAACCTAGGTCCAGAGAATGCGATGAGAATCTTCCTCTTTGAGAACACCAAAGACACTGCAAAGATTTTAATGCATAAGATAGGAATTCTACTCACCAATGGACACCAGGTTGCGATAGTTCTCCAACATCACATCCTGATATAGAGTCTTCTGAGCAGAGGTCAGGAGCTGCCATTCCTCCCAGGTGAACTTAACAGCCACATCATTAAATGTCAGTGATTCCTGTAGTAAGAGGAGCCTATTTACTGAAGTAATTTCCGTTTGAAGATTTTTAAAATATATCTTACAGTAAAGAAAGCAAAACAGTAATAAAAACTATTCTGTGATAGTGCATTCCATAATGTGTGGTAAACTGAGAGCTTAGTAGAAAGTATTTGACCTTATTTCTACATTTCAACCACAGTATGGAAAACAAGCCCCATTTAGAGAAAGATCTCACTGTTTGAGATAAAAATGTTTTCAAATACATGTTCTCTGAGGCCCCAACAATAGCACTCCATTAAGGAGCAGATTTAAAGGAGCTACCACAGTAGATGAATCATTTCTGTGTCTGGCTACTTCACTATGCCTTAAGGTTATCTACAGATTAGAGCAATCAGTTACTATAGCCAACCCACGATAAATGTAGTAAACCCCTGGGTAGGGCTCAGGGTGGGGATGGGGTGGGTTGAGGTCAACTAGCACTAGGTCAAGATGGTGACTCACCTACTTCCTTCCTTGTTTATTATGTTACCTGCTTATGATATTATCCATTAACTATGCATATATTAACTGTATGACATTCATGCCTTATGAAAGATCTGTAAGCCACATTATATATACCCATGGAAAAATACATTCACTCAATCAGTCCTGACTTGGGATGAGGAGCCCCTGTGCACCGCTGTCAGTGTTTCTTTAACATTTTCCACAATCAAAAAATCACTCCTGAGAACTGTTTCGCGTGTTGGGGACACCCTTCCCCAACAATAATGTACCCATTCATAAAAGTACACTTTTGAGTAGCAGTGAACTTATCTGAATTAGCTAGAAATAGCTCAGATTTCAACACAGTAGATAAAACTATACTGTACCAGTTTATATTAAGTTTATAGCCAAACAAGTTTAAGGTACATTGTGATCGAATTAGTCCTAGCAGTATCACCATTATGTAACATACCTCAGCTCTCCAACATTTTTATCAATTCTTACACAAGTCTTTCCTCCCACACCACTGCTCGTCTCTCTTCTGGATTTGATAATCTGTTGTTGCTATGGCCATACAAAACTCACAGATGAAAGTGGTTTATTAATGAACAATGCACAACTCAGCATCAAGAACAAGAAGTGACGAATCAGGAACGAGATCAGAAAGTTCATAGGCAAAACCTTCCTTCCTGCGTGCAGAACAACTTTCTAAGCTCTTAGCGGCCACCTGGACAAGCACCTCTTGTCAACCTTAGGACAAATTCTTCTCAGCCACCTTCGGTCAGTATTGCCTTAACTGTAATTACAAGGTCCTCTTGAACCTGCCATATTTCATCACATGCTCATCAATGGGTCCTTCCTAGTTCTATTTCCATTGGCTCAACCTCTAGAGCCCTCCTAATCTTGCCGAGGTAGGGAAGGTGCTAGGTTGGCCCAAGAAGGAATCATATCAAGAGCGAGAGGGAGAAGGAGAAAGAGAACTGCCTACAGGAATGGTTGAGAAGAGGAAGTGAACGTTGACCTGTCTTCTGACCTGTTGATTTGGTATTATTAGTGCCTGCAGCTATAAAGTTCAGAATGAACCCATGGACTGGGGATATGCCAGTTTCCAGAAATGCATGAGCCATTTCCTTGACATCCCTGCAACTGGGAACCACTTGTGTGACCTGCTTTGAGTTTCCTCCACTCCATGTGCCAACAGCCTGCTGTGTGACCTTTCAATGTAGGTCCCTCAGCCCCTGCAACCTATTATCTGACCAGATCGAACAACTTCACCTTGTGAGGCAGTGGACTGCTGTCTGAGCTGATGATCTGGTTCATCAGCCTTTGTGAACACATTAAGGACCACAACCCTCCAAATGGATACCTGACCTGTGGATTTGGGACTCACCAGTTTCCACATCCTGAAGACTTACTTACTTGATGGCTATTTAGTTTTGTGAGATGGTGCAGAGCAAATCATGGAACATCTTGAACCTCTACCTCATAGGAACTGGTCTACTGCTGGCCCTGCACAATGAACTGTAATATTCATGAGTAAGAGCTGTACCAATGGAGACAATGACCAGGACAGAAAGGACACAGTGACAGAGCCAATGATGACAGGTTCAGAAAAGGGCATTTCACCTAAGATAGTGAGACAGGCAGGCAAGCTCAAGACGACATCCTCTGGATACTGAGCGGAGCCTATACAGATGGAGCTAAGAAATGAGCCCACCTTCAGGGGGGCAAAAATGTCTGAGAGGGACAGAGAGAACAGGCCTGTCCTGAAGAAGAACAAATTTGCCTACATGGTTCTTTAATGTGAATGCCAATGTGTAGCCTATTGATTCTGATACAAAATTACATTGTTACTGAATAAAATGTGTACCTCTAACTCTGGACTGTAGTTTGTACATGGCTACTAAAAAAAGTAATGAGCTGAGTAAGAGAGGACTGTGGGAAAGGTAAGTGGTGTCATAACTAGAAAAGTACTGGGGGGTCCAGGTATGTTTAAACTCTGTTTCATAGGAACCAGGGCTGATGCTGATGGCTGATTCTCCTACATCTATAGCTGTAGGAGGTGAGAAGCTGTCAACCATTTTAAAACTACTAAGGCTACAAGGCTCATTTTAGATGCATTAATGAGAACGCTGCTGTCTGGGAGAAGTACCAAACAACCTTCAGAAAGAAGCAATAAAGAAACTTACGCACACAAAAACCCCATGGAATACTGCTGAACAGTATTCTGCAGTATCACTGCTGAAGCAGTGATCTCATTTCCCCTTAAAAACTAGGCACCGCACATCACGTAATGATTCTCATGGGTTGGCCATAGAATAATGAATTATGAGTTGGAAGATAATATCTTCCAAAGAATCCACACTGACATATTATGTTCAATGTCCATAGTTCAGTTTTAATCCTATGATCAATATAGTTCTAATCTTCTCCAGCCAAATGTTAAAGTCAGAGTCAAAGTTTATCTCTAACTCCTACTATTTCAAATGTCCACTTCTGCAATGAACTGAATCAGTATTATACAGACTTCTATAATTGCAGTAGGAAACACAGAAAAGGATAAAACACATCAGAATCACCTGAGCCTTGGTCATTTTCTTTGGTCCTTAGAACTCTGCCGGCAACTGGGATGCTCTATGTTTGTCTTATCTGCATCAGCTCTAATGATGTTCACAAATTTCAATCTCTCATGAGGATATCCCAAAAATAATAATACCCAAACCAGGCACTTCTTCCTCCTTCCTCTAAGCTGCTGGTGATGCACAATCTGCAGGCTGATGGGAGAATACAATGTGAGTAATACATAACCTGTAGCTCCAGATGCTGTTACTGTTCTGTCCCTCTTCTTAACACCAAGTCCCCAATACTGTTAACGGTGCCCTTATTGAGTGACAGAAAACATGCTTATAACATGAGCAATAAAATCTAAAACTCATAATTGATAGACATGTGAATAAAATATGACTTTATAATAAAGTGAGATTGGACAATCAAATATACATGTCAAAAAGAAACAAAAAAGCTGGATCCCTACCTCACAGCATACAGAACCATCAATTCCTAACTGTGTGACTCTCAAGGAGAATGACAACTCAATGAACCTTGAGGATGTTATGTTAATTAAAGCATTTGGAAACATTTTAAATGGGCTATGTAAAGAGGTATTATAAACTGAAGATTATTTTCTAGAGGAACTATAAATTGTACAATCACTTAGAAACACTTTAAAACTCACCATCAAGTAGAGTTAGACGAATAAACAGCTCAGAGGACACAGGAGAACTGCTCTACAGAGTTTCCAAGATAATAAAGCCATGACAGGAAGCTAATGGGTGTGTACCTCTGACCTTAAGGATAGAAGTGGTTACTGTTGGGCTGCTAACTGCAAGGTCAGCAGTTAGAAACCAATTTCTCCTCGAAACAAAGATGGCGTTTTCTTCTCCAAAGAGTAACATGGCTTTCTACTCAGCTAGAGTTACAGCCTTGGGAACCAAGAGGTGCAGTTATACCCAGTCATATAGGCTTGATATGAGTCAGGGTTAACTTGATGGCAGTGAGTTGGGGTTTTTTTGTTGGGTTTTTTTTGGTTTAAGAGGATTTGGCAGCTTGCCCAACAATAGATTGGTACCTTTGTGGCCTGTGGCTACATAAATAAGCTGTCTGAAACCTCACCTGAGGATTAGTCACATTGGAAATCATGTTAGGATTAATTGAGCCATTTCAGAGACAGAAAATTGGATCTCACTACCATCAAAAAAGAATAGCCAGGAGTAGGGGCCTTTGGATCCTACATTCTTACATTGAAACTCTTCAACACAGAAGACAGAGCTGTGACACAAGAGAGAAAGCAATGGGGAGGAGCAGCAACAGAGACATGGTGGCAGCAGAACCAAGAGACCGACACAGAGCAGTGGGATTCCCAGGCCACAGAGCAAGACAGCTGAGTGTCTCTGGGCCGGAGGTTAGTAGGTGAAGTGGTGTACATCTGAGTACTTATCTGGGGAACTAGATTTACTAACCTACACAGAGCTGAGTGTGTTTGGTCCAAGGCTAAGGGCTGGAGTATGTATTTATCCACAGAACTAAATGACCTTTGTAACATTTGCCCATTTAGGAGAGAATTCAAGGGGCTGCAGGCCCTGACCTTACCTGCAGGTATGGCTGTCAAAATTCTGTCCCAAAGAAGAACTGTACCTTGAGTCATTTATGATCCTAAATTGTGTGTTAGCGTAGAAAAGTGACCCCTATTTCAAATATAGTAATTTAAGGAGAACACTTATTAAACTTTAAGAGACAACAAAAGAGACATACACATCATATGGATAAGGGCGGCCATTAGCAGGAGGTAAAAACAACAAATGAGGATTCAGTCTGGACCCTGGATAAATAGGGCATAGATCAAAAGAATGGTGGCAGAACAATACATCGCAGATACAGAGGGAACTGCAGCAGCAGGAATAGGGCCATGATTAGGACATACATATTATAGATACAAGGACTTACAAGATTGGTCCAGCGCCTTCACACAAGGCAGTCAAGGTCAGACCCATGACAATGGCCCTGTTCTGTCCTCAGTAAGGTGACCTCCATCAAGGATACACCTAGGCAGGCCATGGAGAGGGGCTGGCTGGAAAGGCAATCTACTTCTAAGGCATTCTCCCGGAGGGGAAGATGATCTGCATTCTTGATTAACAATCAGAAAGATTTCAGTGGAGGCTTAATCAAAGTGGGGAGGCAGCAAATGGACACTGAGTTGTCACTGTCCTCAGCAACCCCAACCTAAAACCCAAATCACTGCCATCAAATGATTCTGATTATAGGGACCCGTTAGGACAGTGGTTCTAACCTGTGGGACACGACCCCTTTGGGGTTCAAACGACCCTTCACAAGGGTCACCGAATCATAAAAGTAGCAAAATTACAGTTATGAAGTAGCAATGAAAATAATTTTATGGCTGGGAGGTCACCACAAAATGAGGAACTGTATTAAAGGTTGAGGCATTAAGAAGGTTGAGAACCACTGCTTTAGGAGAAAGCGGAACTGCCCTTTATGGATTTCCCGAAATTGTAACTCTTTACAAGAGCAGAAACTCTATCTTTCTCCCCAGGTGTGACTTGTAATTCTGAACTACCGACCTTGCAGTTAGCAGCCCAATCTGTAATCACTAGGCCAACAGGCTTTTGCAAATTGGACAGCTCAGAACTTAAGTTCTAATATAATTACCAGTGAATTCTATCATTCAGGGAAATGCGGAAAGACCTCTGATCCTGAAGACCAGGACAGCCTGGGCGCTCATACACTGGCGCTCTCCCAGGGTCAGACCTCAGGAAGCACGGATTCCTCCTGCTTCCCCTCAAGCTCCTCCACCTGGCGCTTTCCCCAGGAACCCCAGGGTCACTCACCCTGTTTGGAGTCAGGTGAATGGATTTGGTTCACAACCGATAGAAGTTGAAATCCTTCCTTGTGATGCTTCAATGTGCAAGACAGTAGTGTAACAGATTTCTAGCTCCCTATATTGGACCGTATTTCTCTGAGGCAAATTGTTTTTCTGAAACAGAAGAGGAGACAATATTGAGAAAGGCATGTCAGGTTCTTAGCATATACTCTTTGTGAGAAATAGTGACCACCCCCACACCCAGGGATCAAAACCATGCTCCAATCTGAGGGTGTTTGCATTGAACACAAAGCCCATTCTCTCTTTACAGAGCAATTTTATTAATTTCTCAAATATCATTATCAACTTTGGATCCACATCCTATATATACAATATTTATTTTTAGAATACAGTGGAAGTATTTGTGCTAGTCTGGGTACTTTAGAGAAACAAATCCACAGAAACTCATGTGTAACCAAGAGTTTTATATAAAGGCTAAGCGCGCATCAAGAAAACAGCCCAACCCAGTGCTGCCCAAGTCCACAAGCCCAACATTAACTCATATGTCAGACACCAATCCACAAAGTCCTCCTCCATCTCACAAAACACATGCAATGACACCGACTGCAGGAGGAAAGCTGAATTAGTGAACGTGTAAGCATCTCAGCGCTGGCAGGGGTCTCCACACAGCTGCTCCAGCACCCAGGGCTGCACCGAGGTAGGTCCATACGGCTTTTCCTTGGAGATGTCTCAAAGAAAGTGAGCCTTGCCAGCTGAAGCAGGGAACTGGCTAAGGCAGCTGTACCGTGGTCCAACCATCACAAAGCAAGAGACCAGAGAACTAGAAAGGCAAGGCTCACTGAGCCATTTACCTCTCTGCCCTTTAATTAACCCCACATGTGTGTATTGGCCAGGTTGGCACAATAAACTTTATCTCAGTATTTAAGGCTTCGATATTCTCAAGCTCCATTGGAGATAAATATCTTTTCACCAGCAATCTAACTTAAGAAAGGAATGTTTTATGAACATTCTTTACCAGTCGGTAGTGCACCTTGGACCATAACCCTTGATATACTTGGCTAAAGTGATCAAGCTGAATCATGCCCATATATGCCACTCCAACCCATGTTGAGACTTTCAAGTTTAACCTGCTCCAATCCCCTTGCATCGTGTGTATTCTTTATAACATCTATTGTGTGTGAAGAAATGCCTATGGTTGGGTAGCCCATGTATGCCCAGTAGAGTGTGGTAACTACACAAACTTCTTTTAGAGGTGGACAAGAGACAGAAGGACACCAATATGACGTCTGCGATGTACCTTGGCCAAGACAGAGATATCCTAAACAAGCCAGGGGAATCCTTATTTGCTACTCTCTTAAGCTCTTGCGTTTACAGATGTCCAATTTTAAAGCCTTTGTGAAGCACTGCAGCTGATAGTAAAGGAGTGGCAAGGGGTAGGTAGATGGGTGATACCAAGAGCCAAGGTGAGGGCAGAAGCTTAAAAGTACAAGATAGATCCAGGAAAGAGATGACTTATCAACCATTTTGTCATCTTCGCCTAGATTTTGGATTCCAACCTTTCTAGGTAATGCTGACAGATGGCAAACAACACAAACTGTAGGAGAGGGCTTGTTGGCTTAGGTTTGAGGATGCCCCATCCATAGTCTTGGACTTCTATGGAGAGTGAAACATGCTCCAAGAAGAACCTATTTTGGCAGGAAAACAAAATGAATGTGGTGGGAAGAGGCAATGCTGTGATAAAGTAGGGAGGCATTAGCCTGAGTGGTTATTTGAATATCATTGGCACATCCCTTTTGCAACCCCCAGTGTGTTTCTGAAGGCAGGGATGTATGAGGTTGCAGTTATAGGCTCGTTTAGAGTGTTGAAAAGCAGGGATCTTACTTTGAGGACCAGGGTCACCTCACCCAAACCATGGTCTTGTCAAATGCCTCACATCACGTGGGTGGAAGTTGAACACTGAATAAAGAAGACTGAAGAAGAAACCAATTCGTTTGAATTGTAGTCCTGGCCAAGAATATTGAATTAACATTAGTATTCAAAAGCACAAACAAGTCTGTCTTGGAAGAAGTAAGCTCAGAGTGCTAGTTAGAGGTAAAGAGAGTGAGAGTTCATATTACATACTTTGGACACTGGTGTCAGAAGGGAGCAGTCCCTGGAGAGGATAGCATGTTTGGTAAAGTAGGGGGAAAGTGAAAATAAGAAGCCCTCAACTAAATGGATTGACACAGTAACAGCAACAATGGGTTCATCCCAAATTGTGAGTCTGGCAGAGGAGAAGGCCGCGTTTCCTTCTGTTGTGCAATGGATCCCTATGATGTGGAATCAACTCAATGCCACCTAACAACAACAACAACCTCAGAAACCACTACTCAATACCCCAGACATGCCCAAAATACAAGTGTGTCAGTTATGTTTACAAAAGTTATTTCCATGGTAACAGATGCCAAGCCTTTCATGTGACATTTGCTGCTGGAACATAAGCTTTCTTATTAAAAAGGAGTGGGCGTCCTTTATTTAAATATATATATATATATATATAAATATATAAAACAAAGTTATGACAAAAATCACTGAGGAATTCCTGTCCCTCATTGATTTACACCATTCTGCTGGAGGTGAGCTGAAGGAAATTCTCTAACATTCATCCAGCAGGTCTTATGGCAAAGTATTTCCCAAACTTCGGCTCAAGTGTGAGGGCAGCACCCAGTCACTCAGGTGTTACCTGTCTGTCAAGAGTCATGTGAATCATTTATTCCTCTACATTGAGAGGTCAGCTGCAAGTCCAGAGGATTCACCCAGAGCAAGTGATCTATAAGAGCTGAGTGGGTTTCAGGATGCTCAGAAGGTCTATAATTAACTGAATCAAAATTAAATTCCATGAGAAACTTCAAGGCTAACTGAAGGCTGATTAAAGTTGAAGATTCTGACAGCTAGAGACCAGAGTATTCACACAGTATGAATAAACACTTTCTGTTTTGTTAAGTTCACATTACTGGGTGCAAACATAACAATGGTTATGAGAGTACACTTACTAATATTTTCTAAGAGACCAGTAATAACCTGATACCAAGGTCAGATAATGATACTTCAAAGAAACTGCAGGCCAGTATTGGTAATAGATCTACATGAAAAAGTTCTTTAAAATATTGGAAACTGAGTCAGACAACACATTAAAATAATTATATGCCATGATTAATTGGAATCTGTCCTAGAGTTGATTTAACATAAGAAAATAAGCACTGTAAGATAGCAATACAGCAATTAATGTAAAAAAATAATTATCTAAACAGATATATAAAACATACTAAACAAAGTCAAAGGTTTTTCATGTTAAGGAAAAAAAATCTCTACAAATCTAACATAAAACAGATATAGTTCAATATGTTAATATGCTAATATACATTCCTAAAAAAAAAGTCAAAATGTCAAACTGAGAGGAAAGAGAAAAAATATCACTCTCCCCTCAGAAAAAGGACAAACAAATGTTCACTTTCACCACTGGTATTAAAAATTGACTGTGTGTCTAACTATAGCAATCAGAATAAGATTGTTTTTTTAAAGAAGAGGCTTCCAAAAATAAATTAAAATTCCCCTAATTTTAAATTAATGATCATATCCATAAAATATTCAAGATATGCCATAAATAGCTAATAAATATAAAAATGTTATAGGCTATATTTCAACACACAAAAATAACTTGGCACTTAACTCACTAACCATTAATTGTTAATCAACAACTACCAAACCATTATCACTTACATCTTAACATGCTAACAACACACTGATAATCTCCTAAAACACTGAACCCCTAATTACCAGAAAAGCCCCTAACTGTCCAGAGTGACTATTAACACCCTGAGCATTCCCTGATACCCACAACCAATTAAAAAAAAATTAAAATTTGCTTAACAAATCCTAACACCATACACTCTAAAACTGGCCTAAAGCATTTACTCCAATTCTTTGAGTGAGGAACACAATTTTTATACCATAATACATAAGCCCCTAACCAACTCTAAACATAACCTGTTAGGCACGACACATTGTGAACATAAAGCCCTTTAATCTGTCCACTCACATCTGATTCTTCCTTTTTTCTTTTTTACCTCAGAGCAGGGTTTATTAAAGACTGGAGACGCAGGTATCCAGTAGCCTTCCTAACTGGATCTCTTGGAATGCTCGCTTCTCCACAAACTTGACTTTGTACTTGCGCTTAACTTGGCTCTCTCCCTCGACTCAATCATGTTCCTTTTCTGGAAGCTCTTGAATTGGTCCTGGAGGATGTCACCCTTGGGCTGCGGGACGGGGGTGGGGTGGGATGGGGGTGTCACAGTGATCAGAGCCTGCTGGCCACGTCCCTAGGCCTGCTGGGCCAACACTCAGGGGCTCAGTCCTGGGTAGGGGATGGGAGGGGGCGGATAGGCGGGGCTGACTCATGATGGCCACATGACGCTGGTGCACATAGGGCAGGGGGTACAGTCCCCTGAAGAGAACAAGTGAGTAACACAAGGGTCCTCCCGGGAGCTGGTGGAAGTTCTGTGAGCTGAGAGGGGGCGAGTCTGTGCTTCCAGAAGATTCCTGAGGACATGGGATTTCTACTCCTGTAGACAGTTAGTCTCGGAAACTCACAGGAGCAATTATAGCCCATCCTACAGGGTCGTGCTGTAGAGTTGGCATTGACTCAAGGGTAGCGCGTAACATCTTATTCTTGACTCATGACCTTTATGTTCTATTTCTATCCATTGAGTCTTGTTCTTGAACCAGGAACATTAATACTAGCACCTAGATTCCAATCATACATAGACTCTGACTCTAGCACTCTACAACCCAAAACTGAACCCAAATCTAACCCATCAAGAAACTCACATTGCTAATTATGTATGTGGAGCTGTCTTCTCTCTAAGATTTTACCTAAATGTAAAGAAGGTAGGTAGACAGTAAAACCAGGAATCACAAGCACATTTTCAGTAAACTTTTAAATCATTTGCATCTGATTCATGACAATTGCCAAAATAAAGTGGTTTCTAAATGTTTATATATGATAAACAACATCATGCCCAACAGCTATCACAGATCTCCTGTAGATCTCCCCTATACTGTGTCCTGGCATCAAGAAGTCTTTTCTGCTATTAGACATACACAAGGACGTGTTACCCACTAAGCAAGGTGTCTCTGGTTTCAATTGTACTTATTTACTAATTTGTAAATCCCAATTTCATCTGGTTTCTCCCTCAAAGGTGTGATGAAATCCATGTTAAATAAGGCATATCAATAACTGGTTATTGTCATCGACCCCCTCCTCCTATCACAAGAGATGCAAGAGAGAGAAAATTAAAGGTACATACATTGGAACCATTGTATCCATTTTTCAAAACTAACATTGGCTTTATACTCAGACCTAGGAAAGGGGCTCAGAGAATGATTTTGTATACAACCCCTAGCAGTGTCAGCTGGTAACCCTAAAGTATGTGCTCCGTGCATCCTTTAGATTGGTGTGAGCCAAGACTTAACCTCACCAGACATACTGCAAGTGGGGCTGTATCTTCACCCCCAAACTGAAAACATGTCAATTCTATGGACAGCCTGTGTGCCCAGTGCCAGGAACTCCCCCTCAGAGCACACTGGGGTTCTCCACTCATGGAGAAGTAAGTCCTCAAAGTTAACAACAGCGGGCCAAGCCCTCTCTGACCTACCCTGTGAAATGCTGACCAGGCACCCGGCCCCATGGATATCTCAATATGCCCTGGAACGGAAGTGAGCCTCGGTGTGGGCACATCAGCAACTAAGACGTCCTTAGTGGGCGTTTCATCATCAGGATGTTGGCACAGGACTGAATACCTTAGAGCTCAACCCCAGGGGCTTCCACAGGCAAAAGGCAGTGTTCCTCCCTGAGCCTGTTTTACATATCCACTGGATGAGGGTAGCTGGCCTAAGATAAGTCCCCCTGCCCAGGTCCCAGGGTCTCTTACCTTCCAGGAAGCACAAATCATCCAAGAATGATCCACTATCTTTCCTCACAGCATAGCCTGATCTGAGATCCCCATCTGCCCCAATTTCAACACCTCAAATTATCTGTCTCCAGGCTCATCTGGGTCCTGAGCGGGAACTGAGAAAAAAAAGAGAAGGCTGGGGATAGATTAAATGGTAATCACCAATAATTACTTCAGCATGATTAATAAATCAATATAATTTCAAAATAAGAATGACCCTACAGTGGCCTCAGAAGAATAGGGGAGATTGACATCAATCCCTCTCTACTTAAAAGGTCAAGGACCACCCACATGGAAATTATACTTCAGACACTAGGGTAAAATTCCAACCTTGTGCTCCCAAGACTCTCAATTCTCCTCAGAGGGCCTAGCCAAGTTGTGGTCTAAAGGTGACACTGTTATATATTCGATCCTGCCTGGCAACAGTCACTCAAGGTGAGGGTCTCAGATATCACAGCTGGGTCTGTGGGGATGGTTATGGCTTTAAGTGACAGGAGGCAGCCAATTCTCTTTGTTTTAGGTGCACTGTCCCAGGTGCAGCTTCAGGTGTTGAATCCAGGACCCCAGGAGCTCTCCCGCACCTGCAATGCGTGATTTCTCCATCACTGTAGTTACTGCTGACACTGGATCTACTAGACATTTGGGAAGGGGGAGGGATACACATGCTATGATGGTAATATAAATTGTAACTCGCCCTTCCAAAGTCAATTCTCCATCACCAGAGACACATCAAAGAATCAGTTCTTCCTTCAGGTGACCTCCATGACTACTGAAGACAGGGCCAAGTATTACTGTGTAAGGTACACAGTGAGAGGCAGTCACTGAGAGTCAGACACAAGCCCCCGGCATGACAGGCCCTGAACTACAGGGGGCTCACAGCACAGGATCAGACCAGGAGATGATTTCTGATCTCTGATTCTTGTTCCTCGCATAGCTTCCTAGCGAATCTCCTTTTTAAAAAAAAAAAAAAAAAAATTATTTTGTGTCTATCCCTGATGGCTAGGCGTTTAACATTTGTCATAGGGGAAATTTTACTGTCAAACAGCAATGTGACAAGAAGTAATCTTCAGCTTTATTGAGGTTCCTTAACAGTCGTTAACACCTTTCAAACAGGGAAGAACTAAGTGTACAGACCGGTAGACAATGAAAGTCTAATAATCCAGCTGAATTCTAAACGCATACTAAAGAGAAGGGCACACAATGGCAATAGAGTTGCCTCGCTGAATAAAACAAGTCTTTTAAACATGATTAAAAAAATACAGGATAGATCAAAATTATGGTGTTTATCTTACAGAAAGGAACCACACAATTATTCAGATTAGAACTCTGAAACAGTGAAATTTGTTTGCACCCATTTGGTGATGAAAGCCATCGATTTAGGTCTGTAGTTGTCTGTAGTGTTGAAGCTCCTCATGTACTGATGAATTAATGAACTAAAACAAGGAATTTCTGTTAACATATAATACAGTGACCATATATGTGTAGTCAGACACATAACATAAATCAGACAAGTGATCAAAAAATAAGCCTCTATTCCATATTCTTATTTTCTCTTCCATTGGAGGGGAGAAATTCACCTCCTCACATAGGGCCAACCAGAATGTGTATCAAAACATGACGCCCAGGGTGAAAGCAAGAGAAAAGTAGAAAACACTGCAGAATTTCTATCTTTCCCTGTAGCTCCTCATTAGCCCTTGGAGAGCTACTGGTATGAACTGACAAAGTAGCAACCCAAAGCCCTGGATTCACGGTATTCTCCTGCAGAGTTCCAGGTGATCAGGACCTGACACATTATCTACTGAAAGAGATGATTATTTGGGGGAATTGTGAATTTTCTGCAGTGTTTCTATGTGACACACCTACTTTTCAGTCACTCTATGGTTGTATTTTGTACCTTCATGAAGACGGGCCAGAGTATCGAAAAGGGTCACAGGGCAAGAGTGAAAGATGGGGAACAAGAGAATACAGATGTCATCAAAATGTTCCCATTACAAAGCTACCGTAATGTAATTATTATGGACTGTTCCCCTCAAAAAGACCTGGATGCCTACATAAATACACACTAAGGTTATATGCTGACAAAAAGCACAATATGTAAAGTATCATAACAGCAGGCCATTTTGTTTGCTGATTGGGAAAATGTAGCTAGATTCCAAGTTTCTTAAAAATTGAGACTGAACGTCGATGCATTTGGACTGTAGCGCAAGGATCCTAGGGCTTACACACCAGGTTTTCAGCTGGGCCACTCCAAGGTTTCCTCACATTTGCAGGTCATGGAAGGCAGACTAGCAGAACGTGATGACCACTAGCATTCTCTCAGCTGTGGGACTCGCCCCTATGACTTCTCCTGCTTTTGTTCCCACATTTGCTCAGCAGAGACCAGTGCCAAGAGAAGGACATCATGTTTCATAAGGGAGAAGAGAGGCTAAAAAGAGAAAGGCCTTTGACTAAATGGATGGACACAGTGGCTATAGCAATGGGCTCACACATGGGAACATTTTTGAGGACAGTGCATGGCAGGGCAATGTTTCATTCTGTGTATATCGGGTTTTATGGGTTGATGGACACGCTGACACCTAACAACATAGGAAAGGCTGCTGATGTTGCACTTTGATGCTGAAATTGCGTGGCATAGTCAAGTAGCTATAAAGTACATTGACATGAGCTGCCACAGTCATTCTATAATTCTCCTATGATAGTGTAATGTAAATGTAGATGCAATAAACCTTTCAAAAATCCCATCCACAGCAGTGCATCAGGTGACACAATTTAAAGCATTCACAAGCCTAAATTTCATTCCTTTATGATGAATAAAACCCAAATGCAGTGTTGTCAAGTCAATTCTAACTCATTTTAACCATATACCATTGAGTGAAACTGCTCATTAGTGTTTTCAAGATTGTAAATATTTATGGGCACGAACAGCCTCATCACCCTCCCTTGATCACAATGGTGTGCTTCAACCACATGAATCACTAGGGTTTCTGTCAAACAACATATTCCTGATAAAACATTGCATTTATTCAGCAACTATGATTTTAAGCAATTTCCAAAAAGATTTTGCCACAGTAGAGCTCATTTAGTCCTCTTGCCTCTTTAAAGGAGATGTTGCTTCCAATAGGATAGAGCTGAAGAAAGTCACCAACACTTAAGCACGTGTGCAGTATTGCTCAAATGGTAAGTTGTTAAACCAGGTCAGCATGCAGGCCATGTGTCTACAACTGAATTCCTGCCAACAGTTCTGCTCATAGGCCTACAGCTTGTCATTCTGTCAGTCATCACTTAGAGATGACCTAGAGATCCTCTGTGTAGTGGACGATGACAAAGAAAACAACCAAATGGAACTCATTTTCCTGGAAAATCCCTAAGTCTCAGACAATACTGCTTACCTCCGGCCCCTATGTCTGTCTCTTGCATTAAATGGATTTAGGTTCTAGTGACCAGACATCCTGCTTTTGGCGGGACAGTCCCGCTATTTGGCGTTTTTAAAAAGTCCCGATTTTTGGAAAGAATGCACGACAAGCTAGGGAACAGTCTATTTGGTCTATATAGACCAAATTTTTAATCAAGAACCCCCCCAGTCAATGATGTCCCGCTTTAAATCTGGTCACCACAATTTAGGTAATATTATCACCCAGGCAAAGCCAACACAGCATTTAACAAAACAAAGCAAGAACAATCTGTTCCGAAGGCACATTATTCCAAATCCAATGAAGTTCTTCCCTGGACTCATGAGGTGGCTTTGAGTGGAAAATGACTGCACAGCAGCTAATGAGAACAAAACACAATGTCAAATGGTAAAAACCGCTATGAAGAATGCAGCAGCGGTGGAGCCTAAGCAGTAACACAAGCATATTTATATTTGGTGAGCTAGTGTAGGAGAAACAAAATGATTCCTTTAGGACATGCTAGCCAGGGACCCCTGGATGGATAAGGAAATTCTAACAACTTGGGAGTGCTCTGAGATGAGTCTGCAAATGCTCATTTAGATTCCAGATGCTCAAAGACCCAACAATTCTCAACGTGCAGGCCAAAGGAGTCAAAGCACACCCAGGTCTTCATGGCCAGGAAAGAAAGCTCCATGGTCACTCACCAAATGGAAAGCTCATTAGCAATAAGTATACGTGGAAATTCCCACACTGAAAAAATAATTGGAGCATGAAGAAACACTAGTAGAAAAGTAAAACAAGAGAGGCAATAGTTATACGAAATGCAAATGAGGACTTCCAGGTCTATGAGCAATATCTGAACAGCCCAAAGTCACCATTCCTGTCCCGAAGAAAAAAGCTACCATATTGAACTCAGAGTACTGAGGTCACACATGGTTTTGTTCTTTTGCAGATTAAAAACAACAAAAATACAAAAAAACATGGCCATGGAGTCAATTCTGAGTCATAGCATCCCTACAGTCCAGGGTACAACAGCCCCTGTGTGTTTCTGAAACTGCAACTCTTTGCCTCCAATCAGATAGAGGTGGATACCTCACACACGACGCAGCTGAAATTACTGTCCCGTGTCTCATTTCATGGAAGAATTTATAAGAAGAACTAGCCCACCCAGGACCCCGTTAACAACCAGCACCTTCTGCTACTAGCTCTCTCTTTCACTTTCTACCTCATCATACAGTGGGACAGGTGGAATTATTGTTTTAGAACTGCTGTACAGGCTCTGGTGTCAGGGTGAGAGGGGGCAGGAGGTACCATGAAAATGAACTGCAGAAATGGGACAATGATGACTCTGGAGGACCTTGGGCTTGGCCTCCTCCAAAAGCACAAATCCATGTTTGGACTCTGGTCACACAGCTCTCACATTAAACACAGAGAACCAAGACCCAGGTTGGCGATGCTGACCTTTATGATGGCAACTCTGAGGATCAATAAGGAAGGAAAACCCAGGCAGGCAAGGTTTATAAAATGTTTACATTCACAGGAAAGGTCCAGTAACAGTAGAGATGTGACCCATTATGCCTCTTAGGGCTCAGGTTCTTGGCTTCTTGTGCCACCCCTTGACATTACTGAGAAACCTCAAGGCCAGGAGTAAACAGCCCCCAACAATTTTCTCCAACCTCTACCTTTAATGTTATAATACCTCCATTCTCTGTGGTACTCACCTTTCTAGCTCCAGCTTCTGGAAGTTTTGTTGACTATGCTGCCTGGGGCAAGAACCCACTCCACAAAGGGGGCTGGGTATGGAAGCGGAGTCACTAGGCAATTTGGAGGGAGGTGGAAGACGTGTGGTCGACAGCCAGTTAGAACATTTAAAACACTAACTTGTGGTATCTTGGATGTGCAAGATGGTTGTCATTGGTCTCCAATTACCTACAACACACCAGGTCTCCATTTACCACAGCTAGGACCTAAAATGGAAGGAAATACAATTGAGTAAGGAGGAAGTGCCAGGTTTCTCTGACTTTGGATTCTGCCCTGGCCAAAGATTCCTCCCAGGCTCGGGGCCATGCTCCATTTTCGGTATTTTCTTTTATGGCAAATGTCACTTTAGCACATGTATGGATCATCTAGCTGCACAGGCCTCTTCCTCTAGCAACAATGCCAAAGAGGTAGAATTTTCTACTTTCCAAGTGAATCCCTTTGATCTAAAAGAGAACTTTGATATCAAAGGAGTGGAAGTTGTACAGCAGCAGCAACAGCAAAAGTAGAACCAGGAGCACGAGCCAGAGTGCTGGACAACCCCAGGAGAAGGGCACGTAAAACTGAGTGCATTTGGGCGTTGTGGAGTGGGGTGTCTCTGGACACTTAATTGGGGGAGCTGGGTTTGCTGATCCACGGACCTGGAACTGAGCGGCTTTGGGTTGATACTCAAAGCAAAGTGGCAAAATGTGTCAGGCCTTTATTAGCAGCCCCAAAGAACCCTGTAGCATGCACTGATGAAACATATTCAAGCATATTACAAAGGAAATTTACATTCTTGTCCTCTAGTGGATCCTAGTTGCAATAAGAGGAAACATTCTAATTCCATAAATGCAGCCATGGAAATACACAGGGGCAGTTTTAACCTGTCCTGTAGGGTAGCTGTCGAGTAGGAATCCACTGAATGGCAGTGAGTTGGTTTGCACTGCAATAAGAACCGAAGTAAACACATAGCCTTCATTTTCAGTCCTATCTCAGATAAACAAATCCAAGAAAAAGTTTTCTTCATTAGATATGATAGTTTCTACCCAGCATGCAACCAGCATGAAAAATACAAGGAGCTCATTAGTAACCAATCCTTAATGTCATGAATGCATAAGGGCCCTTCAAAAATATCAAGGAAAATGGAGCAAAGTTAATGGAATTTACCGATGAACATTTTTAAGCCACTGCCTATCTGTTCCTAATATATTATGCTAAACAGTATAATTATAAACAGACTAATATAATAAATCTTTTATCATTCCTCAAATATTGTACATCTTAACAATCTTTAGGATGCCTGTTGATCTTCCATGAAAACTCAGAAAGAATATTAAGTATTTTACATATAACATCTCCCTTAAAGCTACATTAAAGTTACACGTGCAGTCTCCAGGAGTTGGTGCGGATTTGATGGCATCTGTTTGGTTTGATTCATTTCTAGGGGAAAAAGAAAGCGAATTCTGGCTTCGTTTGCTACCCTCAAGGCTGACAGTTCAATCCCACCAGCAGATCTGTAAGAGGAAAGTGAGGCTGGTTCCTCCTGTATAGATTGCGAATCTCAGACACCTACAGAGGAACACTGTGAGTCAGAATTGATTTTGTGGCAGTGAGTTTGTGTTGTGGGGTTGGGAACAATGAAGGTTTCATAAACAGCTGGCACTAGACTGTTCCACTGAGGGTGGACGGGTTAAACTCAGCCTGCATGACTGGGGAAGAACAGGCCTGGAGATCTGCTTCCACAAACATGATGCTCAGAAACGCTAGGGCACTATTCTGCTCTTCACCACATGAAGCTGCTAGGAGATGGAATTAACTCCAGGGCACCCAATCCAAGGCAAAAGTAAACTGATGATAATGTATCCATGTCTATGTAAGCCTACTGCTACTATGTTGAAAAAAATGGCTAAATAAGAAAAACAAAAATATTTTCATTAAGAATCTCCATGTCCATAATGAAAAACATGTAAGCCTACAGAGAACTTGGCATATCTAAATTAGTCAGTGAAGAAGCCCTACTGGTCCTGTGGTAAAATGATGGGCAATCACATGAAGTGAAAACAGTTGTGTTCCACGATGTGGAAGTCTGTTCACATAGAGATTATAGCCTAGAAACCATAAGGAAGAGTTTAAGGTCCTATGGCATCACTAACAGAATCCATTGGAGTACGCCAGAGAACAACAAAGCAGTGAATAAAACAAGCCTTTTATCAAGAACACTCGGACGAAAGGTTGGAACATTCAAGTATTACCATGCAGTGGGACAGAGGGAAAAAGGTAGCTTATTTTACATAAGCTCATATCATACTATACATAAAAATTATATGTCTGGATGTTGCCTTGTAGTAGAAATAGTTATGACACAATTTTTAAAAAATGAGGAGCTATTAGTAGGACATAGTTCTTACACAGTGAGGTATTTATTGTGCCAAACTGGCTGATAAACACGTGGGATTAATTGACGGCGGAGGGATAAGTGGCTCAGTGAGCCTCGCCTTTCTAGTTCTCGGATCTCTTGCTTTCTGATAGTCGGACCAGGATGCAGCTGCCTTAGCCAGTTCCCCGCTTTAGTTGGCAAGGCTCACTTCCTGAAAGACATCCCCAAGGAAAAGCCACACAGACCTACCCCGATGTAGCCCTGGGTGCTGGACCAGCAGTGTGGAGACCCCTGCCAGCGCTGGGATGCTTACACATTCACTGACTCAGCTATCCTCCTGCAGTGGGCATCATTGCATCTGTCTTATGAGATGGAGGGGGACTTTGTGGATTGGTGTCGGACATATGGGTTAATGTTGGACTTGTGGGCTTAGGCAGCACTGAGTTGGGATGTTTTCTTGATGCGCACTTAACCTTTATATAAAACTCTCTCTTATACGTATGAGTTTCTGTGGATTTGTTTCTCTAAAGTACCCAGACTAACACACACAGTAAAATCAAACTGTGATAATGAATGAGATAAGGAAGTTGAAATTGTTCTGGGTGATAAGGAAGTTGTTGCAATAAGAACAAGAGAAAAATAGGATGATCTCAAGCTTGTGTAAAGGTCAGCTAACTGCAAAATGTTGTTTCTGTACCCTGCAGCTTCTTAGAAAAACCACATGCTGCTGCAAGCTGAAAGATAATGCAAAGTACCGCATTCTTTCATTGTGACCCAATAAATTGTATGCGTATAAAAGCTCGTCCCCATCTCAGCTCAGGGTCCACACCCAGCACTCTGGTGTGGTCCCTCAGCGCTGAGTCTGGGTTTGGACCCTTATAAACCTCTTAAACTATACTTGGTCTCTGCTACTTTTGTTTATTCAACGGCCTGCTTACAACAAAACAAATTGAAGAAGAAACAGTTAACTAACTGAAGTAAGTAAATGAAGAGGATAAAAAGAATTTACATACTTAAAATTTGTTTCTAAGAAATGTTTTCTATATCCACTAGGATAACTGATTAATGGCTAATTTAAATTCTATGTCACTGTGAAAATAAAATAAATCAAAACAACAAAAAAGTGCTGACCTTTAGGGCATCTGTCACTAAAATATAATATTAATGCACAAAACCAAAACTCACTGCCATTGAGCCAATTCTGACTCAGTGATCCTACAGGAATGAGAAATGCCTTGTGGATTTTCAAAAGTGAAACTCCTTACATGTCAAAAAAACCTATTTTCTCCAGATTAATATATAAAAGGACCTTAAAATAATAAAATAATTGCTGGATTCTTTAAACCAAGAGGATGTAAAAGGAAACCAAAATTCCCCATTAAAAATTGAGCGAACATTAAATCTGGGCCAGCAATGCTCTTAAGAGCCAAGAGGGAATGATAAGGGGGTGGTGGCACAGGGTGGAAGAGTAAAGTGTTAAACAGAAATGAGCCAATAATAGAATCAATCTCTGGAGTGAGGTTTATTTGGGGAGACATCCCCAAGTGGGGCTCTTCACACTCCAAGTGGAAAGGGACAGCTTCAGCTGAGATTGGGAGACAAATCTCAGGAGCTGTATTAGAGATCAAAATCTTAGCACCGCAGTTAGTGAAGGGTTGTGGATGGCAGTGACTGCCTGAAGTCCATTTGAAAGGTCCCCATATAGTTTAAGCCTCCACTGAATTCTTTCTGATCATTAAGCAAAGACCATCGATTAAATTTGCCCAGGGGCAGAGGACGTTTGAAAGTGGACACCATCCATCCTTCTCCAGTCAATCCAGGTTGTTCTACTCATGAGCCATGCCTTATCAGTTGAGTCTTGAAGGTCTGGGTCAGATGGCCAGAACAATCATGTAAAACCTTCTATCTGACAATGTAGACCCCAATTTAGGCCCTGGACCTGCTTCTGTAATCCCATTTATAAAAATCCTGTACTGTTTCACCAATCATGAACTTCTGACAGTGTCCTTTCAACATTATTTCATAAGATTCCCGACTTGAATGTTTCCTTGACCTGTGCTAATGATCTCCTTCATATGGTGACGTGTCTGCGTCTTTGTATTCTCGTTGTCTTTTTTAAGACTTGATAAATGTTGCATTAAATTATATTCGAGATTGGAGGCTCTTTGCCTAAAACAGAACACAACCTAGTTTCCCATGGGCACAAATGATTCAGAAGGGACATGCTAAGGAGACCCCATTTTAAATAAAGTTTAAAGAGAAAATTTATTACATCTTAAAAGACAAAGACAACGCAAAGACAAGAACACATCATCTGGATGAAGTAAGCAACCAACAGGTGGAAATGTCTTCCCAGGTTCACAATTGAGATAATGAGGGTGTGGATAGGGGGCAGGGCAAAAGAAATTGTCACAAAAGCATGATTGGTGGCCAAGCAACACATCACAATCACAGACACTTCCAGCAGTAGATAGAAGGCTTACAAGATTGTTCCAGGGCTTTCTGACCCACGCAGACGGATCAGACAAGACTGATAAGACACGGCTCCTGTCTAGGAGACCCCTGAACTGTCTCCAGTTTGGTGACCTCCATCACAGACACACAAGACTACAAGCCTATAAAGAAGGACAGCCCCTCCCTACGCTGCCTGGAGAAAGGTGAGGGTAATCCACACTACAAAGCCCTCTGCCTGAGGGCCAGATTGCCTACAACCTTGGTTAATGGTCAGAAAGCATACACTGGAGGCTTACTCTATGTGGGGACTATGCAGGGATTTGGGGCTGTCACTGCTATGGCACCCTTTTGCAAAGCAAGGTGCTCAGAAGTTAAGCTCGAATACAGACCTCAGTCATCAGTGGGGTGGCCTCTCCTTTCAGGAAATGCCACTCTCGGGTCCCCTGTTCTCAGGCCCGGGACCTGACACGGAAGGGACGGGCCCCAGACAAGAACCCACCCCCAATCGCGCCTTTCCGGAGTAAGGGGTGAGGGTGCAGGAGGGGCTCTAAGCAGGAAAAGGGGAACAGGATATTCCCAGGCCGGAAGGCAGAGGCCTGTTACCAGCTGGGAAAGGATTTAAATGGAAACGTCCCAGGAGATCGCGGCGACCTGGACCGCGGGCGGGCAGGTGCGGACTCCGCTGGGGACGCCAGGCCCGAAGGGGACTCCGCCACCGGGATCCACAAAGAACGTAGAGCCCCGCTTACCCTCCTGGGACGCTCGCTCGCGTACTTCTCAGTTGGAGGAAGCGGCGTCCACAGGAAATTGCGTCACCACGTCTGGGGCCGGGGTCTGTGCGGAGGGCGGGGCCTGGAGATAACGAGGGAGCTCCGCCCCTGGAGGGAGGGGCTGGAGGGGCGGCTCCGGGCCGGGGTGAGAACAGGTTCTTTCTCAGGTGCTTCTGCTCCGTCTGGACCCGGTCCGGAGGCGGCGGCGGCGCTGAGCCGGCAGCAGAAACCCAGTCTGTGGCCAGAGCGCGCCCACAGAAAGATGCGCGGACTCGGCCAATCTCAACTTCCAGATGGCGCGGGAAACACGCACACGGCGTGCCTGTGCCTTCGCGCGCTCCTCTCCCCGGCTGGCTCCCTGGAACTCCGTGCCTCCTTCTCGGGGACCCTTCCTGCCGCCTGCTCTTCCCACCGTCCCTTCCCGCCGGGCCTCCGGGAGCGCAATCGGGGCGGTGGCACCAGAGCCATTGGGCTCTGTCCTCGCCAGACAAGCGTAGTTCCTCAGTGGGTCTGTATTACACCTAATTTTCCTTTCCTTTCTGTAACAGCGGCCCTCGTGCTCTATACCTTGGACGTTAGCTAATTCTCTGGCTATAGAGCAGGACCAGCTGTAACCTTTCTTAATGCAGCTATCCTAAACCCCTTTCACCTCATTTCCTTTGATTTCCTGTTCCCTACAAACCTCACCTCCCTCAATCAACCTATTAATTAAAGGTCTCCCTCTGTCTCTTATCTCTGAAAGACCTTAGGGAAACCATGCTGGGTGACCCTGCTTGCATTTGAAACACATTTGCTTTTGAATCACAACAACACACAAGCCACTGAAGACTGAAGACAAACTGACAGAAAAGTGGTGGGTGGAGGGCATGCTTCACAACTGGGAATTTCCCCAAGAGACACTGCAGCTGCATGGACCACAGAGACACACAACTGACAGCATCTGATGCCATCTGCTCCACTCGATCACATCTCTCCTGGCACCATATGGCTTTCACGTGAACTTCTCCCAACCACCTAACTGGAAGAAGAGGCTCAAACCTTGTAGAACCAAGAGCCACAAGCCTTGTAGAATCAAGAGACTTGAGGAGCCTGTGTCATCCTCAGACACTCATTTCAGGCTCTGCTCCCCAAGCTGCACCCCCCAGACTCAAGCCTTCTTGCCCTTGATGCAGACAGGTGAGCGTCAAGATGGGGAATTCCTGAACATGCCACAGTTGTCTTCTGCTCCTCCTCTTCTCATCTCCCTACTTCTCCCTCCCCTCACTGCTAAAGATTTACTGTCCCCCAATCTGTGGGTTCTGTGCTACCCTTTGATGAAACCTTTCTATTTGCATAAGTGTCTTATTATCTGCAAGTTCCAGTCATCTAATTGTCCTTCACTGTGTTTAGAATGTGTTTCCTTTAATACATTTAATGTGTTGAGGTCTCTCCCTTTTATTTCTATGTTATTGAGTATTTTCATTTTTTTTTAATCAGGCATGGTGTTGGACATTGTCAAGTGCTTTTCTACATCTATTTATATAATCATATGGTTCTTATTCTTTGTCCTGATTATGAGGTTGGTTACATTAGTAGTTTTTCTAATGTTGAAACATCCTTGTATCCCTGGTAACAATCCCACTCAGTCAAGGTGAAATATGAACTCAAAGGCAGGGATAGGTGCTCTCTAACTCAATCTAACCCATTGCCACACTGAAGATAAACTGTTAGAATGTATGATCTAATCACTCTCCTAAAGCAATTAGAGTTACATAATCATCACATTGTTGTTAAAATACCAGTATAATATATGCTTAACTTTGACCTGTTCTTTGGATCTCCATAGGAAGCACAATCAGTAGGGTGTAAACCCCACCTACAGGAACCAAGCTAATGGTTGCAAGCTTCAGGGAGAAATAATCCATTGTCCCCAGCAGCAGGGAGCAGGCCCACCCCTGTGGTGGGGTGAGACAGCAGTCTGGCAGCATTGCCTTCAGGGAGGATGTCTATAAGCATCTGACTTCCCCCCACAACAATCCCTAGAGACAACTCTCATGGAGACAAGAATGAAACATTGTGCCAGTGTTCTCATGTTTCAAAGACTGTGTTTCAGTACAGGATGACACACTTAGCACTGTAATTTCAGACTACAGTACATCAATTCCATTATAAATAAATAACTACAATCATATCAACTAGAAATTTTCTCGGAAGTAATTTTTATATGAGGTAAAACATGACCACCAGCAAGGGAGACATTTTTATAACTGAACTATTAATAAAATAAGTCAAAACATGTAGGTTATCCCAAGACAGGATTTCACAAGAATAATGAAGCATATGTGGGAACTGGGCACATGTTAGGAAAACTTGAGAAGGACTGAATCCTTTAATCTTCATAACTTTAAGGACATGTGGGTTAACTTGCTGAGGCTCATACAGTCATTAAGTAGCAAGGCTGCGATTTCATCCTCAGTCTGATTCCAGATGAACCAACCTTGCTGCAATGACCTTGAGTGGGAGTTAAAACCACACCACTACCAACAAGTCAATTCTGACTCATCCGGTCCCTCTAGCACAGAGTTAGAACTGACCCCTGGTGTTTCCAGAGCTTGTAAGTCAGTGTTTTCCAAAGTGGGCAGTAGCTCTTCCCTGAGGGTGGAGGTGGGGATCCCTGAAATGATGCCGGGAGGTTGCAACAGCAGATACCTACACTTTATTCCAGGTTATGGGCTATCCTACAAAAGTTTTTAATTGCCAGGGAAGTGCTGAGTATTTATTATTTTTCTGTGAAGGGCCAGTTGGTGAAATAAGTTTGGGAACCTATGAAATTCTTTCTGAGAAAAGATAGTCTCATTGTTCTCCCACAGAATAGCTGGTGCCATTGAACTGCTGACCTTGTAGTTATCAGCCCAATATGTAGCGCATTATGCCACGAGGCTTCCTTAAGTAGAAGTTAGCCAAAAGTCAAAATAACCAGTTGCCATCCAGAGGTTTCCAAATCTCAGTTACCTACGTGTGTTAGAGGAAACTCTACTTCTTGGGGTTTTCAGTGGTCATTATAGTTTTGAAGTACGATGTCAGGACTTGCTTGTGAATTTGAACTGTCAATCTCTTGATCAGTCAAGTGCATTGACTGTCCCATCCAGGGACTTCAGTTAGGAGAAAAATAAAAACAAAAATCAAACAAACTCATTGCCATGGACTCAATGCCGAGTCATGGTGACCCTACAGGACAAGGTAGAACTGCCCCTGTGGGTTTCTGAGACTATAACTATTCATTGGAGTAGAAAGCCTCATCTTTCTCCTGAGGAACAGCTGATGGTTTTAAACTGCTGACCTGTAGTTCGCAGCACACCACACAGTCACTATGCCACCAAGGCTATTCAGGATGATTATGAGGTAAGCGAGAGCCTGGCACTTTTGAGGGAAATAAAGGAGATCCTTGTGACTGGAGCTTTGATTCTGAAATGGAGAGGGAAGGCTTATGCCTGCATCTTGCAGAAAGACAGGGAACCATTCCCAAAGACAGTGGAAGCACTTGGAACATTTTAGACAGAATATTGACACAATATGGCTTTCTCTTTCGAAAGATTGTCCCAGTTATAACATGGGAAGTAGGTCATGGGAAGCCAGAGTATGTGTGGAGGACGCCTTGATGGCACGACATTAAACAGTTCTCAGCAGCCAACTGAAAGCAACGCTGTAGAAGAAAGACCTCGCTGCCTATTCCCACAGAGATGATAGCCCGAGAAACCCTGTGGGGCAGCAGCTTTATCCTGCCACATGGCTCTGCTGTGAGTCGGAATCCGCCTGATGGCACCTACAGTAAGACTATGCCTAGAGGAGAGGGTATCACTTGACCATTGACTTTGTGTTTTGTGTTATTGAGCTATAATCCACATAACATACAATTCAGTAGTTCAATCATAATTTAAAGAGTTGAACAATCATTAATGATAAAATTTGGGACACTTTCTTCTTTATTGTACTCATGTTATTAGCTCCAACCTCCCCTGCCATACCCATCAGGAACCATTAGTTCAGTTACTGTCTCTGTAGACCCTAGACTCAGCATAGTAGTCTAACCTTACTCATCCTTGAGTGGTCCCAGGCTTGCCTTTGGGCACTCCTTCAAGGGAACAATATCAGAAGGACTGGACCCTACTTAGGGTGAGTCAGATTATACAGTCTGGTTGCTCTAGATACCCTTAAGGAGAATAACCTCTGACCTACTTTCAGCGACCTCCTAGTGTACAGTCATTTACCATGTGTAGCAAGCAGCCGCTTGCGTTTGGCACATATTTGGGAGAGACAACTTGGGAGAAATCTTTTTGTTTCCCACAGGAACCCAGGACAGATAAACCCCTCAGAACCAATATTGAGAGGAGGGGAAGGGGAAGGAGGGGAGAGAAAGGGGGAACTGATCACAATGATCTACATATAACCCCCTCCTCCCAGGTGGAGAGACAGCAGAAAAGTCGTGAAGGAAGACATCAGTGTAAGATATGAAAAATAATAATTCATACATTATCAAGGGTTCAGGAGGGAGGAGGGAAAAGACAAATGTACAATTGTGCTTGATATAGATTGTGATAAAATAATTAAAAAATAAAAGAACAAAATTTAAATAGTGTTATTGTTGATGTTAATGATAACTGTTTGGACCAAGCACTTCACACATCATTTTATTTCAAATCTTAAACCACTTGTCTCTGTCTAATGCTGTTTGAAAATTGATATGCCAGCTCTCTGGCTTGTTGCTAACCAGGGCTGAGCATCTACTCTGCAGGGACACCCTGGCAATAAGATGGTATTACCAATTTGGTGTCACTTTTTTCAGAACATATATTCTTTTATATGAATAAGTGCTTAACAGGCCCTAGCTTTCATATGATATGTGTATTTATAATGTAAGAATATATCGACTTGTTTTTCAGGGACTGTGGCATTCTGTGATCCCATCACTATTATTTCAACGTAGTTTCTGCGAGAATAGCAGATGCTCCTTCCTGGAGGAACTCAAA